AATCGGGTCAAACGTAGACATCACCAGGCTGAGGAACTCCCTCTTGGTAGGGACTCGTTCCCCCGTCATCACGTTCCTCGGGACTCGATGGTACTTGACGCAGAACTTGAACTCATCGGTAGCCGGCTGCCAGTACATCCCAAGCACCTTCTCCTCAGCTTCGGTCCATCCGACGCTGGCGATGGGCTCAAGTGGGTTCAGCGCTTTGACCACACTTGCCGAACTGGAGGTAAATCGGCACAAATCAAACCCTGCTTCAGCGTGAATTTCTCTCACCCGTGTCGAGATGGCGATAGCTTCGTCCTCGCTGGCGAAACTGTCGACGTAGTCATCCACGTAGTGGTATTCGTTGATGGCCAGGGCTGCTCGCGGGTCCGTGCTGCTATGCCGCAAAGCATTCACGGTCTTCACTTAGTTCGCCGAACATGGTGAGCAGGCCGCTCCGAACGTCATCACTGCCATCTCGTATACGTCCGGCTCTCGCTGGTCGTCTCCGTCTCTCCACAGAAACCTCTGGGCGCATCTGTCCTTCGGCTGCATCAGTACCTGATGAAACATCTCCTTGATGTCTGCACAAACTCCAACCGCTCCTTCCCGAAAATGGAAGAGCACTGCTGGCAGGGGCTTGTAGCGCTGTGGGCCTTTCAGTAGCGCTGAATTCAAAGACACACCGACCACCTTGGCAGCCGCATCGAAAACCAGCCGGATTTTCCCAGGCTTGTTCGGGTTTTCCACTCCGAAGTGCGGCAGGTACCACACTTTGCCCTCCTGAAACCTCTGGACTTCCTCGGCCTCCAGTCGTCGTGCGTATCCCTTCTTGACATAATCGTCCATTATCCGGATGTAAGCCGACGCTAAGTCCACATCGCGCTTCATTTTACGCTCTATGTTGACGAGCCTCCTGAGGGCCATGCTGCAGCTCTCCGGCAATCTCACTTCGTCGTCCTTCCATAGCAGCCCGGTCTCGTATCTCTGGCCTACACGTTTGGCCGTCTTCTCCAGGGTGCTCAGGGCCCGTGCGTCGCCGCTATCTCCGACTGACGGCTCCAGGTCCACTCTGCCAGCTGCGACTGGCTGCACCGGCTTCGCTCCGAAATTCTCGGTCTCGAAGTAGTCGCTGACCATCTTCTCCAGAAGATCATCCTGGGGCACGGCTAGGAGGCACGAATTCAGAAGCGGTGAGCTCGGCTTTCCGTTCACCGGTCCATATACCACCCATCCAAGTGCGGTGTCTGCTGCAAACGGCCCTCCAGATCCATAACTTTTGGTTCCGAAGGGTACTCCTAAATGCGCATGATCCAGTCCAATTAGGATCCTCGGCGTCGCATTGTTGTACGGCATCACCGGCAGACGCGTGTTCGCCTTCACTGCTTGTACATCCTCCTGACGCAGGCTCTGCATCGGAAGGTTCAGATTGGCCACTCCGTACACATTTTTCAGCCCATGGCGCTTTGGTTTGCCCGCTGCGCTGATCTGCAGGCTGACCACCTTCGTGTGCTCTTTGGCGGATTTTCCACCAAACCATTGCACATTCAGCTGTCGACTCTCGCCTTTCAGGTTCAGGCTGCGGATGAGTTCGTCGTCGATGAGTGTGACAGACGATCCTTCATCCAGCAGTGCGTACGTGTCGACCTTCGTATTCTCGCCGTACAGCGTCACGGGTAGAATCCTGAACAGCAGGTGGCATCCAATTGCAGGTAGCCTCTGGTTGTTCTCCAACTCAGTGCACTGGTAGGCTGCAGTTGTCTCCGTGAACGCACACAGGAATATTGGCCATTCCTCTGGCTGACCCTCGAAATCGGGAAGATCAGGTAGTCTGCGTGGCGTCCATCCTTGTATGTTTGTCGTCGGCGCTCCATATGATATGGGCGATGGCGCAGGTACCTCAGGGTGGACATAACCTAGCACCGGCTGTGCTGCGGCGGTCACACAAGATGGCGGAGAATAGCGCAGTATTGTTGTTGTTGACACAGGTTGTCCGTTTGCCCAATGGCCGCCAAGCGTCGGCGCCAAATTCGCACTCCATTGTGGCGGCAAATTTGTACTCACTTGTGCCGGCAACTGCAGCGATGGCGTCACTCCGAGATCCGTTTGCAGATTGTCCCTCATCTGCCTGGGCAGGTTTTCGCTCAAACTCTGCCGTGGCGCTGCTCCATGATGTGGCAGCCGCTCACTCCAACGCCACGTGCCCCGATTCCAACGGGATCTCTGGCGGCCTCTGCTTGTCCTCCACTTGCTCTTTCCTTCGCCAGCTCCGACTCCAGACGTGCGATCCTTTCCATTAAGGCCGCCACTACAGTTGTGGGGTCCGTAATCTGCCCCGTCGCTTCGGGCTGCAGGTTACTTGCCGCTTTCCTGGCGGCTGTTCCACTTTCCTTCGGAGTCTGTGGCCTCTGTCGATCACCAGCCACACTCGCAGAGCTGGTCGCGGTGCCAATTGCTGTGGCCGTGGTGGTCGCAGTTGCGGGAACGCCCGAGGCTTCCAGCCTGGGGCTCCGCCTGGGTGAGTGCTTCGTGGGCATCATCTTGCAGAGAGCGAATAAAAGAATTTGTCACCGCTTGGCCGATCACGGGAATGCCTTATAACACTCGCATATAGGACAGTTGTTGAAGTGATGTGTAACGAGCGTTTTATTCTACAAGACAATTGTTCTTAACCTGATACATAATTACTTATCCTACATACCGCTTTATTGAAAGCATTTTTTTGCTTTATTGAATTTCAAGCTTTCTTCATGGAGACAATTTTTTTAAATTAACCAATCAAATAAAAAATAATTCAACACCGTTTTATTTTAATTTCTACCCGAAAACATATATAGATGAAAAGGAAGAATCTTGTGCCGATGAAGAAATTGTGAATGTTTGGGAGTTGATTCAATCATTTGAAGGACATTCCTTAACGGAATTTTCGCAACCAAAATCGAAAAATGAAGGCAAGACAAAAACCCTTTTACATCCCCAATGTATTTAAATGTTTTTAGGGGTAACCTATGTACAATTGGCGAAACACTGTCAAAAATAAATTTTTCTCGCTTATAAGTGTTATACAAAGTCCTCACTCTTCTGACCAATGCTTCCCTAGTCCTCCTCTAATATCAATGTATAATACATTTTTGTTAAATAAATAATTTTTTTATGAAAATAATAATAATAAATTTTTACAGAATAGATTCTCACAAAATTATATTCATAATATGTAAATATTAAATATAAAATCATAAAATAAAAGTTCATAGCAACGAGAAACAAAAGCTATTTTCGTTCCGAGCCGAGAAGTTTATTGCAGGTTATGTTTTCACATAGTCAGAAAATTAGAATAAGTTTCAGTGTAACGCATTCCAAATTCACCAATCTTCAGTGGTGCATAACAGAAATTTTGATAGAGGGCGCCAAAACAAAGGAATCAGCTGCCAAACACAGCTGTTGCAATTGCAAAGCACAGGAGACTGAAATATTATGTTTTGTTAACAAAGTTTGAGAGGGTAGAAATAAAAATCTAAACAGTATAACAACTTTTTTTGAAATGAATACCAATCTTTGTGGTTTGTATTATATGTTTGTAATCGTCATTTGTAGATTAAAATCGTTGTGTCCCCGTAATCGATCAAAAATGAAGGTATCCTTCTCAATGCATATTTTGGATAAAGTCTCATGCTCCATAAGGGATTTAAAGTGAGTCTAGAAGAATCCATCCACGAAACGTATTGTATGTTGTAGAGTATTAAATTCATGTTCGAATAAATTTAATTTGAAATACCACTTTTTCCGATTTTGCGAGAATTTTTCATTTTTAGGACATAACCTTAATTTGGCAAACACAGATTTTTTTACGAAGTGTTTCGAAGCAAAGGGAAAAGTCGCAAAGGAGAATGCTGTCTTTCATTTTATTAAAGATTCATTCATTTTATTAAAGAGTACAGAGATATCGTAGACCAAGCGAGTACAAAATGTTGCTACTGCTTGACGCAAATGTGGGAGAGGTGCTCTTCTATCTTAAGTCAGTAGCGCCGGAATCATGCAGTTTGGCTGAATTCAAAAACTCTTATAAGTTTTCCGAAAACCAAGAAGCCGTTGGACAACACTGCCTTTTCATGAAAAGGGCAATATATCTCACAGAAAGCACGCTGCTCCACACTTGTATTTCTGCGAGCTACAGGTACTTCTGATCCGATCATTTCGCTAGTCAATTTAGATAAAAGAATACAGCGACCGAAAAAAATGTTCCTTCCATTAGAGGTTTTGGACCTATTAGAGGGCTCATCAAATCCCGATGACACCACGGCGGGTGAGGATGAAAGCTCTTTTGATATTGTGCATTGTGAACATTAATATAATATTGAGTTGGAGAACAAAGAGCTGGACTTTTGACTTCTTTAAATTATTAATTAACTTTTGGATTTGGATTTTCTTCTTAAAACTGTAATACATTGTTAAAGGCACAACAAAACAACAAAGTACTGTCACAGAACCAGTTAATAAGTACTCTAAAAATCTGCAGAAAAATACATTAGCTAACGAAAAAAAAGGGGCGGTGCCACGCCCCCTATTTTTCTATTGGTAAAAGATATTGGTCAATATAACCCTATGCAAAAAACAGAAGTCAAATATCTTGCTCCGATCTTGAGTTATTAATTGTTGTCACAAAAATTGGTCAAATTCCCCATAGTGCGGCTTTATCCCGAGGGCATAGGAAATTTCTCTGCCCGAGCTCTGCCACACACACACAGTATAAATGTGTGAAACGTCATGCTCACAGCCTACTTTCTGCTATTCGTTACTAAAACTTATGCGTTAAAATCATATCAATGTATTGGGGTGCCGACCACTGACCTAAATCAATGAGATCTTTAAATTAAACATTAAATATAAATGAAATTTACTATTTTTTTTATATTTGTTAATGTTTAATCTCTTTTTTTTTTTTCATTACGAAACCTATGTGTTGCATTTTTTATTTTTTTCATAAGTTAATAATAATAAATACTCTTCTTCTTCAGGACTATTTGTACCCAAAGAAATATCATTATCCAGTTATGCACCACCACCAGCGATATATCACAATCAACAAAAATTTCAAGCTCCTCGAATTGTATGTAGTAATTCTAATGAAGATCAAAACCTATACAATATCAAAAATGGGTTGCCATTGAATGAAATTGGATCAAAAAGCTCGAACAAATATCAAAAGATCTTTACTCCCACAAGGTACCAGGAAGTACCAAAAGAAGTGCAGATCGGGTCTCAAGTAAATTTCAGTCCTGCGCAATTGTCTACTGATAAAATATCTCGATTTGAGAATGGTGACAATTCAAGTCAAAATAGTTGTATTCATCAATATCTTACAGTTCGGCCAAAAACAAATGTACGAAATGCATCTCCCACTCCCTTTGGGGTTACAATTAATAAATCCGCAACAAGATCTCCTAGCTCAATACCTTCTTTTGGAACTACACTCTCTTATCCTTCATCTACGACATCTGCGAAATGTGGCCAATTTTATAACAGCAAAGCTTTGTCACAATTGCAAAAAGGCCCAACATCAAACATCCAAGCTCATGGATGGGAAGCTAAAAAAACTCAAGAGGATTATTGGTGCTCCCCACAACACCACGGAAATTTACCGTATACTGATTTTTAAAAAAATCCGATCTACGAAATGACTTAAAAAACGTCAATTACTATGCTTTCATAAACATTTTGTAATATCATTTTTTTCTGGGTATATTTATTAAAGAAACATGAATAATAAAGTTGATAGATCATCGATCAATCCAAAATTTCACTTTTATCAATTTTATTTTATTTTCAATTTTATTTATTAAGGGCGTTTTTATTTTTTTTGGTTTCTTTTGGTAACTATTTTTTTTTTTTATTTAATTTGTTTTTATTAACTGTATAGAATATTATTTAGGCATTAAGATACTAACAATATGTTTTAAAATTGTATTCTATGTTACATTAATTAAATTAGTTTGGCAGGGACGGAAAGTCGTTGTGATGTAAACGGGTTTGGTAATTTCCGGCTAAGCTGTTTGGCTGGTTAGTAGGTTTAAGTGAGTTGATAGTCTGACTTAATATTTGGGAATGCTCTAATCAATTTTCCTTTTAGCGGGTTTAATTTGCAACTGTTCGAGTTTGGGATATATAAGAGAGCTTCAATTATTGTTTTTAAGATCCTTGATTTTCATCGTTAAAGGATAACATATCTATATTACTGATGCTTGAATATTTTTTTTTTTAACTTTTGAACCAGTGAAGAGGATTGTGGGATCTGTTTGTTGTAGAGGATGAGCGATGGACTAGTTACGAAGCTCATTTTCTTGTGGTCACTATTCAGCCAAAATGGGAGGCCTAAAATTCAAAATGGAACAGCTTCTTGGGACTCTGATAATTTAATGGCTTGCTAATCAGGCAAGATTATGTAGAATGTAAGTGTAAGTAATGCTATTTTTTAGCTATTCGTTGGCGAAATAAATATATAAAATTGAATCCGTAGAAAATTGTAGCGGGACCGAAGACGGTTTTGTTTAACTTAGCCGAAATTCAGATAACCAAATTCTGTCGGACAAAAGCTTAATGATTTAGCACTATTTTTACTACTATTTTTACTACTATTTCTTGTAGTAATAGTAGCAATAGTAATTAACTAATATTTGGTATTTTTTTTAACCATCTATGGTATTACTAGCTGAAAAAGTGTTGTTAAGCGTGGGCGCAAATGCAGCTGTTAATGCAGTTGCAATTTTTTCTGAGCCGTCGGCACATTTTTTCTGAATATCGGATTTGAATTTCTTTCCTAATTGGACCACACACCCAGAAGGAAGTAAAAACTGTGTCGCTGGGATAGAACTCCCTACCCACAAAGTGAGCATCACCCACCGACAGACGATCGAGTAAATTTTGGCGAGCCGGACTTAAAAGTTTCGAGCTGCCGTGTGTGTGTGTAAGTTTAGCTGTGCCAGCGCGGTGCGCTTGTTTAATTATCGCAGTGGTTTTAGTTGCAGAGGACAGACTCTTTTGTTGACGAATTAATATTGCCCATTATTGGCCCAGGCCCGGGCCAAAATATTCTACGAGAGTATTCTACAAGTCGTGTACAACCTCACTGCGAGCAAGCTAACCACGGAACGTTGGCCAAGAGGGTACGTTCTCCCGGACAGCCTTGCTGGGGCATATCGTCAGATAGTGCCCCAGGCGGAAGAGTGAGGAGAATTAAAATAAAGACCGCCACTAAAAAAGTGAACAGACCCAAGCCATCAGGTTATGTCGCGAAATTATAAGATTGAGTGCTGAAAATTTGTCAACAACTGGCGGACCTCGACTGAAAATGTGTATATAGACCCAAAAGATCGAAAAATCTTAAGTTTTAGAGTGATCCTAGGCTCAAGAAAGTTTTCCGAGTAACGGGGATAGGCTGCGCCGCCATTTCACTTATTGGCCTAGGTCATCGACCTCACCGTTAGTGATCGAGTAAAACCTCACTTTCACACACCCAGTGTGTGTGACATTCATTCTGTGACATTACATTCTCGCTACCGCTACATGCAGCATTTAGTAGTTTCCATTTAATTTAAAAATCACTATTTCTACTAAGTGGCCACGACTCCCAATTATAAGTGAAAGAATCTAAGATTACATTTTTTTGAGTGGCTCTAAATTCTAAAAAAATTTTCTTTTGAGAGCCTTCTGCCACTCGGATTCAACCATCCAATTATAATTCACGCTTTTTTTATTTCTTAAATTAGTAATTAATTAAATCTACGATAATGGAACTAAAATAAGAGCCAATGTTAAATTTAGTGCTTTCTATGTAAGGAAAAGTTGTCCACTGGGTTTATTTGTACATTTTAAAGTCAGCCATAATTCCCAAATTTACTAGTAACTATGGCAGCTAGCCAAGCGCTGCATTTGTTTCAGCCACTCCACCGAGAAGGATCGATCTTTCGTCGTTGGACTAAAAATCTGTGAGTTACCCCAAATTTGTTATGCTCTTTAATTACTTTGGCTACTTTACAAAGAAATAAACCCCAGTAATAACAGCCAATTTATTATTATTTTTACAAGTATTGAATTTTCTATCTAATTTTGCATATCCATTAAATAAGCTCGCATATTAAAAGTAAAGTAAAGCATAAAACCATTAGCATCCATTGGCACGATTTAAAAACTGAATTAATTCAAAAAAATATTAAATATTGAAATTGTTAAAGTTTAATTTTCTTTTAAAACAAGTATTATTATGTTAAGTCCCTTTGAATTATTATATATACTTTTTTTTATTAAACCCTTTGAATTGAATTTCTAATACCTGTAATTATTTCTAAAAATCAAGGATGGAAGGTTTATTTTCGTTTTGGAAGAATAAAACCATGAACATTTAAAATCTCAAGTGACTGAACTCAGCTGATGTCTGCCCGGATGTAGGGTGTTAAAGGGATCACCAGAGCGATGCTCTAGCGGCCGGTGATCATAGGTAGGGTGGGCAGTTCGCAAGCACATCAACACCAGTGTCTTGCCAAATGAATAGTCTTCTCTTTGTCTGTCCTTTCTTTCCGTCCTTCCGAATTTATTCCTCCGAACTCTTCCGGTTCAGTCCTCCTTTCATTTAGTTTGTCGCAAGCACGCTCAATTCTGGATTTAATAGTAATAATGTGTAGTGAGTGATAGAGTCCGTCCAAGCAAGACCACCACCCCCAAAGCCGACGAGCAGTAGCCGGACCCTATAGCGTGCCCCGCTAGCACAGACTCTTCCAATCCGTCCACACCGTACCGTTGCACATTACAGATATAATTCATTATTATTATTAAAGAAAGTGGCGCCCAACGTGGGGCCTTAATGGAAAATTCTATGCATTGAGACTCACGGGAGGATAAATTCAAAATTCTTTTGTATTTCATTTTAAAATCTTTTTTTTCTACACTAACAAAATATTCCTTGAGTTTCAATTTTGTCCTGGAATACAGCTTATGGATAGTTGATATTCGTAGCTGTCCGAAAATAGATATTCAAGGGAATTTTCCTGAACATTAGAAGAAATGACAAGATGTTGCTTAGACTGAGGAATACAGAGGTAGCGGAGCTTAGGCCGAACCCTGTCCCGGTTTTAAAACATTGAGTCATTGAACTAGCCACCTAATTTTAAATAGAAAGACGTGATCATACTGAACTGCACGGAAAATCGAGGCATTACTTGCGAGAGATGCTCGATCCAGAATAAGTTGTCACAATTTCTATTTGTTTCCCTCTCCCGGGGCATTTCACTTCTATAAGTCGCGACCTGGAATACGGAATTGGCTTAGAACAGGCCACCGTCCAAGGCCGGCTTAAAGGTAGTAACTGCTTCCCTTGAATTAGATTTCAATCTTTTCGAAATTTAATTCTACAAAATTTTATTATTTCCAAGGAGACTAACAAAGAATTATGCCCTACGATGGGTGACATCCAGCAAGAGTTCAGTTTAAGTACCTTTCAATATCTAAGAAAAGAAATTTTCCCGAATATACCTTTTATTATTTTGTTATTATATTCTTCTTATTATATCGTTATTCTTTTTATAATTATTCTTTGCAATTATATCGTTATATTTGATTATATTTTTTTGGGTTACAATTACAAAAGTTTTGGGTTACAGTTTTGTTACCTCGTTAGACCAGAACATTACAGATTAGGTTCCTTCTTTAACAATTATATTGACATAAGCTCACAAAATGGGGTTAGATCGTTCCCCGGAAAGAGGAGCTGAAGGAAGCTCTGTGTTAGTCTGTCCACTTTGTAATGGGGAAGTTAATGCTGTGGAGGTATGTCGAGCAGCATGCTCACATGAATTTCACAAGAGGTGCATCGAAGCGCATTGGAAGAAAAACGCACATTGTCCGATTTGTAAAGTGGTTTGTAGACCGAAGGTTGCAAAAGCCATAGAAAATCAGGATCGACAAACTCGTAGTCAATCCAAGATTCGGCAAAACGCTGATAGCGAGCAACAAGTATCCGAAGAATTGGCGTCTACCTCAGGAGTCAATGTTACGAACGAGAGCAGCACAAGCGTCATTACGGCGAATGCTATCACGTTGCTAGCCATGGAACGTAGATTGCTCAGTACTCTGTCAGAGAAGAAGGCAGAGCTAGTCCAAACTATAGTAGTGGAAAATATTACAAGAGGGTCAGCAACTCAAAACGCTAACGTAGTAAACGTGCAGAATGGGTCATCGGATTTACAACCGTCCGAAAATGAGGATAATAGGGTCGGTACTTACCACGCCAAGGACATTCGTCAGTAACCCGTCTTCGGTCGTTATCAGTCTAGGGTACTGTATGAGATTATACCCTAGCCTGATTCTTCCGGGGGAGCTTTTGTAGCGGGACCGAAGACGGTTTTGTTTAACTTAGCCGAAATTCAGATAACCAAATTCTGTCGGACAAAAGCTGAATGATTTAGCACTATTTTTACTACTATTTCTTGTAGTAATAGTAGCAATAGTAATTAACTAATATTTGGTATTTTTTTAACCATCTATGGTATTACTAGCTGAAAAAGTGTTGTTAAGCGTGGGCGCAAATGCAGCTGTTAATGCAGTTGCAATTTTTTCCTGAGCCGTCGGCACATTTTTTCTGAATATCGGATTTGAATTTCTTTCCTAATTGGACCACACACCCAGAAGGAAGTAAAAACTGTGTCGCTGGGATAGAACTCCCTACCCACAAAGTGAGCATCACCCACCGACAGACGATCGAGTAAATTTTGGCGAGCCGGACTTAAAAGTTTCGAGCTGCCGTGTG